TGCGCTCGAGAGGGCACGTATCGAGCTGTACTCGCGCGGTGCTCTGAACACAGTGCACAACACACCGCCCTCCCGCCCTCATGATGTCGTCTTCGCCACGCATACCGTGGTGCCTCTCCCCTACCGCACCGCCCACGGACCTGAACCCACCACGCTGGATTCGGTACTCTGGAGGTGCGGTAGGCCGTGGTGCCTCTCCCCTCGCCCGCGGTCGCGCTCGCAGAGCTCGACCGCCTCCGCGCCCCCTCGCCGCCCGCCGGGGTATCTCCTCCGCCCAGCCTGCCGACTGGCGAAGCAGAGGCTCCCCACGGGCACGGCGGGCGGCGGCGCGGCGGCGGCGGCGGCGGCGGCGGGCGGCGGCGGCGCGGCGGCGGGCGGCGGAAGCTCGGCGGCTCTCGCGGCGGCGGCGACGGCGTTGCGGCGGGCTCGGGGCCTGGCCGCCGGCTGCCCATGGCGGAGTTTGAGTCGCGATGGCGCGCCGAGGCACAGCCGCTCCGAGAGAGATGGCTGGTTCCCCCCCCTTTGAGAAGAAGAAGTGGAATGGTCAGGTTTCAAGCCCCCTTCTTGGAGACTAGAGACAGCCACCGCCCGTATACAGGAGAGATGGGAGTGCCCCTTGCCCCCACTTGCCCGTGCCTAGTCAGGAGAGCGTGCCCCGAGGATGGCCTCCCCTTGAGAAGGCGTCGAACCCGACGCCACTCTCACCCTCCTCGCCCGCGACGGTGCAAGGTGCCTTTGCCGGCGGCGGAGGCGGGGAGCGCCGCTACCCCGGCGCTGACTCCCGTGGCGTTGGCCGCGGTGCCGAGCTGGCCGAGTCCAGCGGCGCCCATTGATTTTGAGGCTGCCCCTCCTCCAGCGCACACACTCGCACGGAGGATGGCGGAGCGGATATCCTTGATAGGTTGCGCCGGAGGTGGCGGCGGTGACGCCGGCGGCGGGGTCGTTGCCGCGCTACAAGGTGGTCGCTGGCGGCGGCTGCGACGCGCGTGCCTCCCTCCCCTTGCGGCGTCTCCGTCCCGAGAAGGTTCCGCCGCGCGTGGCACCGCGGGCCTCTGACGGCGGTTGGCACTCTGCGACTAGGCTGCTCTCGCGGGATGAGTGCCTCGCGTACGCACAGACGATGAGGCTGACTCACATCGGCTCCACCACGGACGAGGCCGAGTTCCCCGGGTGCGTGGTG